CTTCGGCTTCTACTGCTGCTGCTGGCGTCCCCGTGACGCCACCCTTAAAAAGCACAGTCTTAGCTCAGCTGAATCCCATCTACCTATGCCCACACCCTACTCCAGGTGCTGCCATCAGGCATGCATTCAGGACAAGGATCCGTCATCTATCCTGATGGCGGAAGGGCAGAAAAGCCTGATATTTTCTTTACCCTACAACGATTGTAAAGAATGAAATTTTTTGGTATAAGAACAGGGTTTTGGCATCAGAAACTGAGGACACATTGGTACGGAATCCTACTGGCCTTATGTTTGATGTTTTAACCTGAAGTAGGATTAGCAGCTATTGGAAAGAGTTATAAACTAAAATGTTTTGCACCTTTTGAGATGTCTGTTGCGTTGACAATAGACTAAGTAATGCAGTAGGAACATACAGAGAGTCCAGTGAGGAGGAGATTGCAATAATCCAGGTAAGAGCTGGCCATGGATGGGGGCAGGGTGTTAGCACAGCTGGTGATGAGAAATGATCAGATCCTGGTCTCTGTGGAGGGCACAGTCAGTCTATGAAGAGTGTTGTCACAAGACAGCCCCATGGATATGCCGGCTCCAAAACTCAGACTGAATCAGGAAGTGCTGTGTGAAGCTTGAACTCAAGCCACTCAGGTAACTGCCAACCCCACTTGAAGTGAACCAGGTTAAAATAATGACTAGAAGGGCCCGCACCAACTCCCCCTCATTTTCTGAATAATTCTCCCTAATTTCACTTGTTCTAACTCCAGGAATTTCATTCTTTAGAGTCTCTGCGCCTGCTAATTCCTCTGCCAGGCACCTTTTCTTCCAAACAGTGACATAATTACTCCCCACCAAGTTTCACTCTGGGCCTTTGTTCAAGTATCACATCTAATAGAGAATGAGCATTCAAACTGCAAAAGTACCTCACCCTCTGCAAATGAATTGCCAATAAATTAGCACCTGTCCTTGAGAGAAGAGCTGTCCTCTGCTGTTGGGACACCCACACCCACCACCCACAGTCACTGTAGGGTAAAGAAAATATCAGGCTTTTCTGCCCTTCCGCCATCAGGATAGATGACGGATCCTTGTCCTGAATGCATGCCTGATGGCGGGCACCTGGAGTAGGGTGTGGGCATAGGTAGATGGGATTCAGCTGAGCTAAGACTGTGCTTTTAAGGGCGGCGTCATGGGGACGCCAGCAGCAGCAGTAGAAGCCGAAGCAGAAACTGAAAGAGAAGCCGAGAAGCAGCAGAACGAACGCTAGAGAGCCCAGATAGAGTGAAGACTTGCTGGGGGCTGGGAGGCCAGCACCCCTGCCTACCATATGCCTGGTGAACCCCAATAAAAGACCTGCAAAAAAACCACTGAGGACTCTGACTCCTCCTTTACCCGGTCTGCATGGGATCAGAAAACCTGCACCGTGCCCGTTCCTGACCTGACAGTCACCGTCAGAGCTGGCCAGACTGGAATGTGGGCACAGGGAGACAGGAGTGGGGGTGAAAGCGTGCCCAACAGGGGGCAGGGAGGGTCCTTAGCACTGGACAAAGCATGTCCCTAAATCCAACAGCCTTTGTTTCTTCCGAAGCCACCCCTCTTAGCAGCTCCCCTGGAGGGCGGCAGAGCCCTCCCCAGGTTACCCCGCAGCGCCACAAAGGAGCCCATGAGATTTCGGCACAGCCTTAACCAAAACTGCAGATGTGATGCCTTATAACACAATGCATGGTTACCTCAACACCCACACTTTGGGTATGGACTCCTGTTGGGAGAATCTGTGACTGCAGACCCGGGGGGAATAGAGAGCCCTGGAAAGCCAACGCAGAGTCCTTGTCCTCTCCCTTCCATGATGTTGAGTCTCAGCTGGAGACCAACCTGGGACTTTTGGGATGCAGCCTCTCAGAGAGGCTTTGTGCATGTGTGTGTAGCCAGCCACACACTCACACACACATACACACAACCTGTAGTGCCCTCAGTGCATCACCTGGTCAAGGGGGGTCCACCTGCAACTACTCCCTGTTAATGGAGTGGATTGAACAAGACTCGACTCTCCTGTCTGTGGAGTCAGTAGATGTTGCTTCCAGGAAAGACCTGTGCTACCCAATGCAGCTCTGCGTAGGTGGGAAGGGGGGGTGACAAGGCCTGAGTCTCAGCAGGGGGGTCTAGCAGTGTGATTAGGAGATGAGGGACCTGAAGCAGGTGATGGGGAGGCCAGGACAGGAGCCAGCGCCACCTGGGTGAGCCTGGGCTGGCTACATGGAGCCCACATTGAATGAAGGTCCCCAACAAGGAAGATCCCAAAACAGTCAGCTCCACTCTCAAGAGTGTGGGGGAGTCATGAAGCCTGTGAGCAAGCAAACCGGTCAGTGGCTCATCACCCAGAAGGTCAAGCTCGGAGCCATGATTTGTCTTTTCACAGAGGAGCTGGTTCAAGGCATCCACCAAGGCACTCAGTGGGATTGGGAACCTGACTCCCAACTCCCCAAGTGCCAGGAGTCTGTGATTATATAAGCGGAGCGGGGAGGGAGGGGGTGCAGGATGTGAAGTGGGGAGCTGCACATTTCCAGGTCCAACGTTGGGTAGGGCAGTCCAGGCTTCATGGGGATTTGGGCTTGACACTCTGCAGGGAGTGTGTCCTCAGGGTCAAGATCAGGCAACAGTCAGGAGTTATTTGTTTTTGATATTCTCACAACCTCCAAGGAGCAAAGAGGTTTTTCTTAGAAGCGTAACAATCAGCTTTATGAGTTCCAGGAAATGCCATTGAAAAGAAATGTATTAGTTGCAAGTTGAAGCATAATCACAAGGAGGTATTAGAGGGGAAAGAGAACAAAGATTGCTTAAAGTTTAGTTCATTGAGTCCCAGGATTTGCTCTAGAGAGGTTTCTGTTACAAATGGAGGTGATCCAGTTACAGCCTGACCTCAAATCACATGGGCTTAAGGTTCCACAATGTAATCATCACAGTATTGGACAAAAGGGCCAGGGTGTGCAGGGAGTTCATATCAGAAGTCAGTTTAAGGACAATGGCCCTGGATGGATGAAGGGAGACAATCCGTACATAAAGTCCAAGAATTTAGAAAATTATGAGATGGGATGGAGTCCGGATCAACCAACCAATAGGCTCAGAGCCCAGGTTAGCCCTTCACCCTCCAAATGCTATGAACTTAGCTCAGGGTCCCCCTAAATGAAGAACGGGCAGTACCACGTGGGGGACACGGTCACAGTCCTTGGCGATTCACCAATAATAAGGTCTTGGTGAACAGCAGAGAGAACGAGAGGCCAATGGGAGAAGCCCTGGTCCCTCACCTTTGCCAGTGGGGAGGAAATCAACTCTGAGAATGGGGACAGGCAGGAGCAGTGGGGAGGGTGGAGAAGCCGGGGTGAACTCGTGGGGCTCCTCTCCTTACATGGAGGCACCTGGTGATAGTGCCGAGCCCCTGAGGGACTGGAGGGGCTGCATTAAGCCCCGTGGCTGCTGCGATTCCAGACCCCAGCCTCGGAGGGGACCTGAAGAGAAGGAGACTGGTGGAGGGGCCAGCAGTTCTCAGGGCCCCTGAGCCCATCCAGGTGAGGAGGGATGAGGCAACAGTTCACCTGAGGAGCAGGTGGGGTTAGGGAGAGGGAGGCGTCCAGGTGGACTTCCTGGTGGCAGCTCAGGAGGGAGGAGAATTAGAAAAGAGACAAGGAGCCTGGGGGTCACACAAAAGAGGCAAATAGGGACTCCAGAGAGCTGGCGGGATCGGGACCCTGTTCTTTAAGGTGACATTAGTGATTGTGTAAGTGCTCAATGATACACACACATACACATACACACGACACATACACACACGTCTCCACTTCTGTGTTGATGCACGTACATGCAGAGATACATTCATAGCAGGAGTGTATCTGTATCTTTATATATGTTTACATATATTCATAGACATGAACATATGTACACAATACCCGTGTGCATATACACTCATAACATACACTCATCTCATTCCTTTATATGTATTTTTTTTTAAGATTTATTTATTTATACAAGCACTGGGTACAGTCAGAAGCGCGGGAGGGTGAGAGAATTCACCAGAGCCAGAGTGGAGAGTAGAACAGGCAGACTGACGAAACACACTGCTGAGGGGAGCAGCGGGCAGCAGGAGAGGTCTGTTGTGCCATATGGGACCCTCGCCTACCAGCCAGGGATCAAACTTGTGCTGCAGAGGCTGTGGGCAGCTTCCCAACCCAGCGCTCAACTGCTGTGCCACCGGGGAGGCCCAGTATATTTACTTTTTAATACAACTTAAGGGGTAGGTTTTTATTCAAAACAATTTCTGGATTACAAAATATTTCAAGAATAAAAGAGAATTCTAGTCTATCTTACCGCCATAGTCCTGTATCATCAACACATTCCACATTTCCTGGTCACAGATCTCTTCCTACCTGAATCAATAGACGTGATTTTTTTAAATATTTATTTATTTATTTGTTCAAAGAAAATGGGATGTAGAACAGGAGTATGAAGGGGTGAGAAGATTCACCAGAGACAGATTGGGGAGCAGAACAGGCAGATCTACTGAAATGCACTGCTGAGGGGAGACAGGAGAGGTCTGCCACACCATGTGGGTTGCCTCCCTCGCCAGGCATCAAACTCATGCCACAGAGGTGATGGCGCTGAGACTTAACCCCTAGGCTACCAGGGAGACCCCTACACCTGATTTTTTGATGCATTTCAAAGTTATAGATACCAACACAATTCACTGGAACCACTTCACAATTCATAGTCACTAAAACTCAACATCAGTTTACACTGTTTCAAAGTAAAATTTACTTGCAATGAAATGCTCCATTCCTCAGGACACTATGGTGAGTTTTGACCAATAATGAATTCTGAGCAAGACAGATTTTCCATCACCCCAAAATGTTCCCTCAAGTCCCTGTTGGTCCCACCGTGAAAGGCAAAGAAGTGGGACCATAAGCCCCTGAGCCCACAAGGACAACACAGCCCAGATGGGTGGGGCTGACCTCCAGGGGTGCTCAGGCCTCTGTCAGCCGTTGCAGCAGACACAGGGATGCATACAGAGCAGACATGGGTTCCTTGGCTTCCAGATCCCAGGTGGACCTGGGGTTTTTCAGCTCCATCCTCAGCCCACACTCCTGCAGCAGCCCATAGGTGATGGCCACACCCTCATCCTGCAGGGGGGTGAGGAGCTGGGGGTCCAGGGTGAAGGGAATGCACTGGGGGTAATTGAAGTTGGGCTCCAGGATGCTCCGTACCTAGAAGTAATGGCGTAAGAGTCCACGGGTCAGCCTTTGAGCAGAGAAGAGGAAAACTTCTGTCCCAACAGTGAGGACTGACACAGGGTGATGGAGGAAAGAAAGTTCTGGTTATGGGGACAGGACTCCATCCTGGACCCTTCTTGTGCTCAATGTGATCTTGCACACATGTTACCAGAAATTACTGATCATGGGTTCCTGGGTTGCTAACTGGTGAGACTAATATACTAACACAACAAAGGTATTAGCAATTGTAGGTGCGTGTGTACATGTGTGCAGTGTGTAAATGTGTATGTGTAACTCTACACACTCCTGTGGACTCATACATACATCACGCAGCAAGAAAGAGCAATTTCAATGGGAACTATGTAAGTCAGGCGGGGGTATTCCTCAGAGCCCTGAGCTCCTAAACCTCTATTCCTGTTTGACTGTTTTAGAACTCTGAGGGTCTCTGCAGTGGTTACCATGGAAACTGAGACCTGCCCACCCACTCTGACTGCTCTCCAGAAGGACATGAGCAGGATTTCCCAGGGGCCACACTGGGATGGGGTCTCCCCTCCCAGCAGAAACTGCATCATCTCTCTTTCCTAGAGTCACTCTACTCTCCTTCTCCCGCCTCCCCCCCTCCGCCTCGATGCTGGCACCAGGGATTTCTCACCAGGTCCCGCTGATGGGGCAGGATCCTCTTCTCCATGGACTGGGTCAGCAGAGCATGTTGGGTGTCACTCAGCACTGGGGACAGAGGGTGTTTGGGAAAAGAGTGAGGAGTCAAATACCCCCCAACCGGGTGAAAAAGAAACCCCATAAGGGGGGCTCCCCTGGTGGCCTAGGAGTTAAGTCTCAGGGTTATCACCACCATGGCACAAGTTTGGTCCCCAGCCAGGGAGCTGACTCACATGGCGCAGCAGACCTCTCCTCTCTCGCCTGCTGCTCCCCTCAGCAGTGTATTTCAGTAGATCCCCCTGTTCTGCTCCCCACTCTGTCTCTTGTGATTCTTCTAATCCCCCCTCCCCATACCTCTGGCCTGCACCCAAGTTCCTGTATGCATAAATACATAAAATATTTTAAAAATATATTTAAAGAAAAAAAAAACCCAGAAGCAAAACTCCAGGCAGAAGTATAAAACCTACTAAGTTTTTATTAGTGCAAGTCCCTGTCCTCTGAGTCTTCCTTCTGATTTGGGGATGGTCTCCAAGGTGCTACAGCACATAGTCCAGAGGGTGGGATTCTGAGGCTGGAGGCTGGAACCCCCACCCCAATGAGAAGGGGATGAACTTGGGCTGGTCTGTCTAGGTCAAGTTTCATGTTACATGACTAGTTTACCTCATGGGCCCCTCTGAGTGAGGACCACTGTGAGAATAAAAACCATATTCATCAAAGCACTTTGGAGAGGGGGCAGCTAACAAAGTCCTTTATGGGGTTCTGGGGACCACCTGAGGCTCTCCGACAGCCCCTTAAATCGCTCTCACCCATTATGGCTTCAAGCAGGTAAAGGATGAGGTACACTGCGTCAACATGTGCATCTTTTGGGATCCTTGCCAGCTCATCCAGGATGGTGGCACCAGGGCCACTCATATGACCCAAGGGCTTCTCCTGGTCAAGCTGCAAAAGGCAAAGATAACAATGATGATGATGATGATATTGTCATATAATTTTGCCTATAAGTTATGATCTATAAGTTATTAACCAAAAGTTGGGTTAATGTCTTTCTCTACCCCCAAGGGATACCGAGAACCTGCACTATGTGGGCAGCATAACCCTGGCCCTCTTATTCCCCAACTATTACTCCCAGTCTCCTTCCCCATGCATGTGGGCAGCCATATCTCCTGAACATACACCATTTGCAGGTTTGATCAGCCCCAGACAGCTGTGGGGCCCCCTCACCGTGTCCATGAGGGCCTCCAGAACCCGTCGGTCTCCCAGCATAGCTTGGATATTAATTAACATGATAGCCCGAATGTTCCTTGACAGCGAAGCCACTTTCCTCACTCTGATGAAAACTTCTTCTTCCATGCACTTGAAAGCTGTCATCCAGGACATGGAAATAACTCTTAGGTTAGAACGTTACTAGGATAATCCTGTCCCCATTCATGTGAGCAAAACTCATCTGTTTTCAAGCTGCTAACAAAAAGCATCTCTGTGGGTGATGTGTTTGAGCTCCAGAGTAGAGGTGTCAAAATAGGCTAGAAAGATGATGATACAGCTGAAATGAGGGGGCAGACACTGGGAGCAGAGATGGAGAATCTTAAAGGTGTCTTGGGATATGTAAGAAATGTGCAGCTGTAGAGATGAGAGTCTTCCCTGCTGTGGACTCTCAGTTTCCACATCTAAAATGAGGCTGTGGTGCCTTCCTGGCGGTACAAGGGGGTAACCACAGCACTGTGAAGCTGTCCACAGTTTCTGCAGCACGAGTTCCATCCCTGGCCGGCCAGGGAGCTACCCACATGGTGCAGCAGACCTCCTGACTCACCCACGGCTCCCCTCAGCAATGTATTCCAGTAGATCCGCTATTCTGCCCCCCACTCTGTCTCCGGTGAAACCACTCACCCCCCCGCCCCACACACACACGCCTCTGGCCTGTACCCAAGTTCGTGTATGTATAAATAAATAAATCTTTAAAAAATTAAAATAAAATGAATAAATAAAATGAGGCTGTGGTGACAATCACTGGGGTGTCGAGTATGTGAGGCACATGCAGCAGCACCAGCACACACCGCACCCTACAGATCACACTTGTGTCTGCGTCTTCTGAGTCCAAAAGGAATTAACCTCTCCTAGAGCACCTGAGGGTCTAAACCCACAAGACCCTGGTGCCCAGATCAGTGCCTGTTTTCTGACACAGCCTCATCAGGGTGGATGGACTGAGTGTGGATGAGGGAGGATGGATGAACAGATGAGGGATGTGACAATGTGTACATGGCGGCGAATCCAGTTGTCCGAGTGGCAGGAAAGCTCCAGGGGTGTCAGCCTGTCAGTTTCCACCCAGAAGCACATGCAGCAGTACAAGCACACACCGCACCCTACAGATCACACTTGTGTCTTGTCTTCCGAGTCTGGAAGGAATTAACCTCTCCCAGAGGTTCAAAGAGACTAGGTTTTTCTGCTCTTCTTCCCCTGCTTCCCCACCCCCTCCTCTCTACCTGCTGCTGCCCATCCCCCAGGGGACCAGATCCCAGGGCCCTGGGAAGGAGGCCACTGCAAGCATGTGGGGGTTCTGTTGTGCAGAGGTGAGTCCTGGGGGATCAGATCCCACTCTCCTGGCACAAAAACAGCTAACCCCGCACCTCTGGCCTGTACCCCAGTCCCTGCAGGCACAAATAAATAAATCTTTAAAAAATTAAAGTTAAATAAATAAATAAATAAATAAGGCTGTGGTGACAATCACTGGGGTGTCATGTATGGGAAGCACATGCAGCAGCACCAGCACACACCGCACCCTACAGATCACACTAGTGTCTTGTCTTCTGAGTCTGGAAGGAATTCACCTCTCCCAGAGCACCTGAGGGGCCATCAGAGACCTGCTGAGGTGAGAGGTCACAGGAGCAGAAGCTCCAAAGAGGCGGCTTTTCTGTCTCTGGGTTCATTGCTGAACCCCAGAGTCCATGTGCTCAGATCAGTGCCTGTTTCCGACACAGCCTCATCAGGGTGGCGGGACTGAGTGTGGATGAGGGAGGGTGGATGAACAGAGGAGGGATGTGACAATGTGTACATGGAGGAGAATCCGGTTGTCCGAGTGGCAGGGAAGCTCCAGGGGTGTCAGCCTGTCAGTTTCCACCCAGAAGCCCAGGTTCCCTCTCCGTAAACACTCACCTTGCCCAGAGCGTTTCTTTCTTCTTCCTGGAAAGAGAAATACAAGCCATCATGTCTTTTATGCATCCTCAAATTTGCTTTTGAGACACTGTGGAGGGTTTGTGCTCCCTCCGACCCCGCCTCCCTCCTGCAGCACCTCTTCCTGCCCCGTCAGGCCCACCCTCCACACCCTCAGCCCCCAGGAGCCCCCTGGACAGGGTGCTGGGCCAGGCCCAGGGCAGTGGTGGCAAAGGCAGGGCCAACTGCTGGGCGCAGCTAATCATGGCATGAAAGATTCCTCCCCCGACCCCATCACCTCTCAGAAAGCTGACTTTGCTTTCCGTTCTCACTACAGAAAATAACCACATTCCAATTAGTTCAAAGATGCTCTGTTTCTCTCCTCTCTGCCCCTTGCTTCCCCACCCTCCCCAACCTGTCTCGCCCATCACCCAGGGGACCAGATCCCAGTGCCTTGGAGAAGGAGGCCACAGGCCAGCACGTGGGCATTTTGCTATGTGACTTGACTCCTGAGGGGGATCAGATCTACTGGCACGCGCACACACAAAACCACTTGCTTGATGCGAAAATAGGCCTGAACAACTCTGGAGAGATAAAAAAAAGGGCTCACTCACCAGGAGTTAAAGAGTGACACACACACACACGCACACATACAGCCCCATCCCACTGTTCAAGGGAAAAAGCTTGTTTTTTATGTGTTTTCAAGGGTCCTGCTAGTGAAAATAAGGGAGCTGGCAGGCTGTGCAGGAGGGGCTGGTTTATTGTGGGGAGAGGACTGAGCCCCTGAGGGTCTGGTGAGCACCCTAATTACATTAGGGCTCACAGGGTTAAGGTCAAGTGAGAAAACACGCCCAGATGGGAACTTACTTATTGGACAGCATTTCTGCTTCTTCCCCTTTGTGATATCATGAAAACCTGAAAGGAGAAGGATCCAGGTCAGGAGAGCCAGGTCACCCTGATGGGGGCTTCCCCACCCCCACCCGCAGCCCAGCCCTGCTCCTGCAGACCCGAGTGGCAGCTCTTCTCAGGGGGACCTGGGGGCCCCTGATCAGAGGCACTGACTGGGGTGCTTGTGACAACTCAGAGCCCCTGACCTCTCTCTGGGCCTTCTGGGTCTGACGCTGAGAAGACCCTGGGATCTGCACCCATGGGTGCCCCTCGCTCCACCAGAGACCTGCCTGTGGAGGGGAGGGTCTGCTCCTCCCAACCCCCTTCCTGCAGGGCTGCCCCCTCTGCCCCTCTGCCGGGTCTCTCTGACCTGTCTCCTCCCTCCTGTCCTCTCCAGACTCTGCCAGCTTCCTGGGTGGCTTCATATTTCCAGTGAGAAATGTGCTAAAATCGTAAACTTTTGTAACAATAGGATTGTTTGACAGGGGAAGAGAACCCATGAAGGAAACAGAATTGAAACAGTCCTATAGATGAAGCGCTCACGGGCCCTAGTGTCCCGGTATCCAGGAGACGCGAGTTCCAGTGAGTGCACTAGTGACTCAGGTGGGGGGAGTGAACTCACTGGGGTGAACCTCAGCAGGTGGAGGCAGCAAGGCTGGGAGGGGAGGACCCAGAGTGTGGAGATTCTTTAAGGACTTGGCCCTGAGGGGAGGGAGTGGGAGGAAGGGTATGGGGAGGGCCCTTGGGTGAGGGGCTGTGAGGAGGCAGGGCCCTGAGCCAGAGGCCAGTCCTGGGGAGGTTGCAGGTGGCTGGGGGTGGAGACCCCTCTGTGCCAGTCCCTCCCCCAGACACTCCCTCTAACTCACCCCACTCTAGAGAGTCTGTCTCATTTCCATGTTATAGACAAGATGGCTGACGGAGAATTCTGGTTTTCTCTACAGTCACACAGCAACTCTTTGGCAAATGATTGAACTGGCCTGCACTCTGTTTTATTCTCAGATTTACTGTAGGGATTAAACTCATGTGAGCCTGGTGTCCAAGGCACAATGGTAAAGGCTCCTTCAGAGGCTTATTAGCATGAAACTATAACAGCCAGCATGGCCAATCACCCCCTCATGGACTGTCCAGGACTTGTAGGCACTGGCGTGGGAGCCTTGAGTTTCATTCACTTCATTCTCCAACACATGCGAAACATAATATGCTCGATGGCTGGGCTTCTTCTCCTCCCTCCCTGAGGACGTGGCGCTTTGTCATACGCCACGACCATAAAGCACAATCATCTCCCGCTGCCTCTGCAGGGGTCTCTGACCTCCCCTAAACTGGGGACACCACCCTCCTCTCTAGCCCTCAGGAGGGCCTTGCTCTGGGGAGGGCTGGACTTTCCCCAGAAGCAAAAGACACTGACCCTGCAAGACCAGATCCAATGTCACTGACAGGAGGAATTGACAGCAGGACCTGACCCTGACCAGATGCTGCAATCAGGATTCTGTAGAGGGGAGTGGGGGGAAGTGGGAGGAGGACACCCCCTCATCTCTGAGGAATCTGCCCCCAGCTGCATCAGGCTGACCTGAAGATGGGACCTACATGAGGGAATGGAGAGTCCAAGGAACGGGAGCTGGTGGGTTTGCAGCCTTCACGTCACCCAGTTTACACACTTGTTTTTTGATGTGAGTGGTTCACACACGTGGTGTCCGAACTCAAGAGCGTGTGTTCTGGGGACTATCTTTTTTTCAGGCTAGTGAAGGAGGAAAAGATGCAGGTAAAATCCCGCCTATGTGGCTAGGGCATCAGGTTTGCAGTCTGTGACTGTGCTGATGTCTTACAGGCG